GAACAATAAGCTGTAGACCGCAGACAACACTCCAAAACAGAGCGTACGATAAAAAAAGTATTGTACCATTTAGGCACAAACTGATTTTGATTCAGAATCGGACATTTTAAAGAAAGAAACATCGACCAAGAGAGATTCATTTTGGCACATCTTACTTTACAGTAAGTACAGATTATTGACATCAATCTTAATGGTACTAGTGCCATGTTGTATTGATATTTAAGTTAATTACATAACCCGCAACTCTCATTGTTATTTGTTATCATACACTTTATCATATCTGCAATTTATTAACGCGTATTTCCGTAGATATCGTTTTACCACTTCCATCCAGATTGATTGATTACGCCATTTTACCTTTACGATAGAGGCGAAGGTTCTCAATAATAGCGCACTTCCTAGTCAGTTAGCTATCGTCTTTTCAACCCTAGCAGTACTTTTGGTAATACGTTCAAAAATAAAGAACAAAACTGTTAGTTACGGTCTTACGGAATGTACGCATACCTACCTTTTCTTCTACATTTTCCCAGAACCCGCACATACCCTTTCAGGCATGCATTCTTTACTATATTGGTATTTGTATTATGGACGAAGTTTGCCATTCGAACTCTTCTAACGAAACTTTCACTAGTTGAGAATTGTAGAGCAACTATTGCACAGAAAAGTAACAGTAAACACTTTGCTATGTACATACTCGACAGTAAATGGTGCTAATTAATTTAAAATAACTACGGATATGTAAGTGCAGATAAACTTTTTTTGCACAGTATGGAGGGAGGGAACGTATAATTCTAGGAATGTTATCCCCAAAATATGCGGACCACAATGGGTGTACTTGACCGCATGTTGCCTTGATTATAAAATGCATTTTAGTTTATCATAAGTATTTAATTAAGTAGTGAAGAAGCACTAGGTAAAAAGCCATTCCAAAAAATAGCCGTTTTTTTTTCAAAACTCAGCGTCCACCTGCAACAAACAAGGTATCACAAATACATACTTGCCAATTGAGAAATGCGAGCAAAGGACACCATCTGCCAAATTCTTGACAGAATAGCTTCCTAGCTCAAACCAGAAATTAAAAAAAAAAACTTTTTGACAGACATGTACACTGGCAACATTTTACCTAAATCCAAAATTTGAACCAAATCGGTCGGAAAAACTTTTTATTATTTAAAAATTGCTCACCAAATTTCTTTCTGCAACTTCCATTAACTCTATCATATCCTTTCTGGCAATCCACTCTAATAACTGCATTGTGTTTATTATCACTCGCATGGGGATTGGTATACTTATTGTCAACTTTTGGGGCGCCTTTTGGGGTGACTTTTGGGGCGGCTTTTGCAATGGTAATTGCAATCAGCGTTAGAAAGAACAGCACAAGTATGTGAAGTTTCATTTCTGTTTTCGGAGCCGATCTCGTTAGATGAATGACTATGGGAAACACACTGGAACACTTTTAATAATAAGTTTACGTAACGTGGGCATCATAATCGGTGTTTTAATTAGTAGCCGAAATCATTTATCACTGGGGAAATAGCAAGTAACAGGATTATGCTCTCCTGTCATGAAAAGATAACTGTGCTATTTCCTTACCTAACTTCCTGAACAAGGCGCGTGAAATGCTTTCCTCTCGATACCTAATTTACTTCTCTGGTTTACCATTAATTTTTTCTCTGGATCTGTAAGGTTGGTTCTTGTAACTCGATCTCATTGAAGCCATTCTTATCTTCTTATCTTGCACACTGCACTCACTGCAATGTACTCTTGTTTCGTTGGAGGACCTCGAACAGGCAAACAAATTGTGCTAGAAAATTTGTCGTCTATACAGTTTTTGCTTGGAACTGAGCACCTTGGGAGTTCAAATCTTCATGTAGAGTTCTGAAACCCCTCCTTTCCGAGATTCCCATTTCTTTAACGACAATCGCAATTTTTCCTCGGTCATGAATCAACACCAAATCTTCCACTTTCTTAATGATTTCGTCAGTTCGTGCTTGCAGACGTCTTCATCATGAATAGATTTCCTGTGCTATTTCAACTGCTTGCATCAACATTTTAGTAGAAAATAAGATCCGCTATTTTTTCCATGCACTGCCACCGTTCTTTCGTGGATTTTCTTCAGGTCACTGCCTTCTTTTGATAAAAATTTCATGACGATTCTTTGTTTAAGTTTCTAATCTCATACGTTTGCCTTTTTCAGCTTGAAAATAAAAATGACAAATGTTACGTGATTGCAACCTAACAGATATGGAGCTAAACATCCAACAATTTAACCTGACTGTGTTATACGCCAAAAATAAGAACTTTCGCCCGCGAAATTGTACTGTAATTGTTTATTTATACCCAAATCTCTGAAATTCGTGCCCACATACTAAATAAATGAGCTTCCTTCAAATTGTTCCCAAGATACCCATAAATTATGCTTCTGAGTCGCCTTTAAAGTAAAAATGCAAATTTCTGTAGAACCTAAAAGTTATAGAAAAAGTAGAGTTTTAAACTAAGCGCATTTCTACCTGCTACCGTTAAATTGCCAATTACTTTGGTCCTACAAAGGAATGTAGTAAGAGGCTTATAAAACGGTGAGCATCAACACCTATTATTCTAACACTATTGCAATTAGTAGCTAATGGTAGGATCTCCTAACTGATGCAAAAACGAATCCAGAAAAAGGGCCGTGTAATATCCTCAACATCTTGTCTTTCGAAAATAAATCTCTCTTCCAATAAATAAGATGCATTACTACTTTTTAATAGGTATAGATGTTTTAGGTTTACTCTTCATAAACAAAAAAAAATTATCAAAGTCCTCGTTTGAGATCGAAGGGACTTCAGCGCATTTTTGTGTGGCAGATCAGTATTCTATTAGCCACTTTCGATTCAACCATCAATAACAGATCTTGTCGAAGGCTACTACATTCACTAACCGCTTCCCACTTTCCTCGTGCACCCGCAATTCGCTTTTAAAGATTTGACTCCACCATCAGGAAGATCGTGTCGGGGGCTACCACATTCCCTTTGACGGTACCCACTTCCGACGTTCGGTTCACCCGCAATTCGCGTTTGAAGATTTGACTCCACCATCAGGAAGATCGTGTCGGGGGCTACCACATTTCCTTTGACGGTACCCCCTGCCGACGTCCCGTTCGCCCGCAATTCGCGATTGAAGATTTGACACCACCATCAGTGAGATCGTGTCGCGGGCTACCACATTCCCTTTTACGGTACCCACTTCCGACGTCCCGTTCACCCGCAATTCGCGTTTGAAGATTTGACTCCACCATCAGTAAGATCGTGTCGGGGGCTACCACATTCCCTTTGACGGTACCCACTTCCGACGTTCCGTTCATCCGCAATTCGCGTTTGAAGATTTGACTCCACCATCAGGAAGATCGTGTCGGGGGCTACCACATTCCTTTTACGGTACCCACTTCCGACGTCCCGTTCACTCGCAATTCACTTCTATTGGCGACACGAGAAAGAGAGACAGCGATTCGAGATTTACGAAACGTTAAACCGCGTGAGTTCGCAACGGAAGGTAAAAGGCGCCCGAAGTTGACTACTTCTCGAAGACGCGCGCGCGCCTCGCAAAAGGTCGTTAATTTCGCCCCTATGACAAAAAACAAAATTCCGCCACGCAGGAGTTGTGCGCGTTTACAACATCTTTCCGACGACACCAATTTCAAAAGAATCGGACCAAAACTGTAGTAGAAGATAGGAAAAAACTGAAAAACCTTCACGTTAGTATACTACGCTCGAGGATGACGCCCAGATGTCGCCAACCCCACATCATGTAGCCATGTCCCTAAGGTTGACAAATTTCACGGCCCTGTAGATACACGTACACCCGTTGCCTTTCTACAAGAGTTCTTCTACGCGCCCACATTTGCTGCCAGCCAGCCAGCCAGCCAGCCAGCCAGCCAGCAGCCAGCCAGCCAGCCAAAGTGAGATTAAAAGCTACTTTTTACAAATAAATTTGCAAAAATGCGCTAAAAATTGAAATTTGTAATTTTTTATCTTTGCCTCTAAAATAATTAGGGCGGAAGATTTAGGATTTAGCAATCCCATGGCCATGCAAGTCACCGCGTTTATCTAGTGTGCAGTACTGTCTTTGGTACAAAATATACAGTGTGCCCCAGATCGCGTGGGATTGCATGGGTAACTTTGTTATTATTAAAGATAGCGAATTGGTTAAATGGGCAATGTTTTGCAGTTTTGGATGCTTATTTAAAATTTCTTTATGGAAATTCAAAATGTCGCATAGGTTGGACGTAAATTCAAAAAAACTAAAATTGGTCATTTCCTTGAATGTCTTATATCATCGAAAGTATAAGAAATATAAAAAAAAGTTTTATATAAAAGTGGCTGTCTTTGATACGCTTTAGAATTGATGTAAAAAAAATTCAAGATGGCTACTTTTGAGGAACATTTACCAACTTCCTAAACTTAAATAGATTTTGTTTTGTTTTTTTTATTCGTCACAGACTACTTGATTAAAATACAAAAACCGTTAATATAACTGGTATCTTATTTTCAATCTTATGATATAATAGCACGTTGAAAAGAGAATTAAAAAATCTCTCAAGTAATCTAAAAACCCAATATGGCGCCCATTTAACTTTAGGGAGTTAGTAAATGTTCCTCAAAAGTTGCCATCTTAAATTTTTTTTTACATCAATTCTAAATTAAGCGTATCAAAAAAAACAGTCACTTTTATATAAAACTTTTTTTATATCTCTTATACATTCGATGATACAAGACATTCAAGGAAATGACCAATTTTAGTTTTTTTGAATTTACGTCGAACCTATGCGCCATTTTGAATTTCCATAAGGAAATTTTAAATAAGCATCCAAAACTGCAAAACATTGCCCATTTAACCAATTCGGTATCTTTAATAATAACAAAGTTACCCATGCAATCCCACGCGATCTGGGACACACTGTATATCACAACTGAACAGACTTTATTAAACTAAAAGGGAGGTTTCTATGCAACTAAGAAAAATTAAAAACGAAAGTTTATATCACTTACCCCTGAGATTTCTAAGCAGGGCAATTTACCAACTTGAGCTCCAGTAAATCCGTATACGGAATTTGCAGAAATTTTCAGTGCCAATTGACGTCCATTTAAGACCGCTTGCATCACTGGATCCTTTTCGTCTTTTAGTGCAGTTTTAGCACGCTTACGTGCCGCTAACAGTTGTTGCAAAATTTCAGGTAGTAAACCTTGTCTAACTGAAGACTTCACGAATATATTCTGCGATGGAGTAACGGTAATTTCGTCGGGCGCAAGACCTAGTTTATCTTTCATATTAGGACGTACGAGAGTGGTGTAGCACAAATTGTGGGCTATCATAATGCTAGGGTACAGGGAACTAAAATCCAATGTTGCAATAGGATACGTGTAATAGCCGCGAATAGGTTCAATAACTGTTGCGCCCTCGTATTGTTCAGTGCTGGGGGCGTAATGGTGCGTCGGCATGAAATATCCGGACTGCCGGCTCTAAAAAACTATGTGTTAAACTTCGGGTTTTGCACAGAAAAATTACTGACATGTCTTAGTAATTGTGCGACCACTTTAACTTGTTCGCCTTTTGTCAATAAACTTGTAATTGAGACACCGGTAACACGTGCCATTTCTATGTCGTTTGCGAAACTTTTAACGTGATCCAATAAACGTAGAGGCAGGTCTGCATCTTTTATACAATACACGGCTAATCTACAATTTAAAATTTTCACACTATAGCGCGTTCGCACCTCCAAATTCAATATGGTCCTTATGGACGTACAGTACATGGTTGCCAAACGTGACAATGACAGCACAAGGAGATTATGTTTTGTTTTAATACATCAATTTAATCATATGTCAATTTGACATCAATGCGGTTAGAAACAAGGATAGTATTATCGAAGAATGACGCAAACTAGTAAGAGAGGCAATTAGTCCATAAGATCTGAATCTGGAGGTGCGAACGCGCTATAGCAATAGCGACGTCAGAAATTTTCACGGAGTGGACCAATATGTTTTGGGATAGTTACTTGATCTGTATTAAGTAAGAGAGGGCGAGAAGAGAGCAGCATATGATCGCCATTAATCAAGAAAAACTCAAGATATAGGTCCTTTCTTAAGCCGAATCAATTTTCCTTTTTTATATCTTTTCTAATATTGCAACATGACGTGAGTATAAACCCACACACGTTGTTTAAATATCAGTTTCCAAACAAAAATGTAAAAATTGATTTAAAAGATGAAAACAAATACCAAGATATCAAAAAAATGTTGCAAATTAGCAATAAATAAGGAATAAATTATAAAACATTTGGTGTGCTACATAAATTTCAATCAAACAACATTATCCCTGACGTTATTCTGCACCATCTAAAGTAAGCTGAGCCCACTCCTAGGTGGTGCCACTAATCGAGCAGAAAATTTACCTTCGTCGTGTTTGTTCATCGCCATTTTGTAAATCAGTAATGATACTATAATGCACGTCTTCCTTCTGTTCGCCCAGTAATTCGTTAGACACATTATTTAAAGTGTATGATCGTAACCTGAAATCCCTTTTCATCACCACCAGCATATCGTAAGCAACTCTTCCTTCAAAGTTGACAGTCTTAAAAGTACGTTTTCCAAATTTCGTTTGGTTCACAGTTTCTTTCACGCTCGACCTAAAAGAGCATAATGTAAAACAACACGCTTAAACTTTGTGGAGACACTTGCTGAATACTCAAAATTCGTCCCAAAAAATCAAACTTTTTAAGCTTCAAATGTTTTGCCCTATCCAAAAGATAAGGTATATCAAAATTGTTAATGTTGTAACCGGTGAAAACGTCCGGGTCTAGTTCTCTAACGAAATCGGCCCACGCCTCAAGCATCTGATGCTCAGTGTCGAAACACCTTACCTAGACAAAAAAAATGTAGGTGAGCTCTAAACCGTCGTATCCATACCTCAGCGTGACCAATTGGAGCGCATGTATTTAATGTGAAAACATTTCGCGTCAATACGTCATCAGAACCGTACAACTTGACAACATTTGCTATTTGTATAACGGGATCCACATTAGGCTCGGGAAATATACCTTTACGTCCGGCGCATTCGATATCAAAACTATGTATTCGGAAAGGTGCAACCTTAGCCCACTCGCCTTCGGGTGGATGGGCGACGAAGTCTTCCCAAGACACGTCACATTCGATTTGACACCGAGACGTTATTGGCCATTTGGAATCCTTACCACGCCCATACCATTTCCCAGGAGGTAAATGAATCCACGAACAACCCAAAATACTTGTATCGATCATAAATCTAAAAACTTGTAAAATTAATTTTAAGTACACTTCTTAGGATAACACCTTAAATCAATATCGACGTTAGTCTCAAAACAGCTAAACGACTTATTTCCATAAACACCATTTTCTAACAGCCGTTTGCCGACAGCAACGAATCTCGGTAACGCTACAGTAATCTTCGCAAATTTACTGTCTTCGTGGCCACTGAATTCTAATAACGACTTTCCGCGTTTAATTTCTACAGCCAAAACGGCCTCCGAAACTTTCTCAGGAACCGCCTTTACATCGAGTAACACAGCCAAATTTAATTTTTTCTAAAAATTGCGAGGTCATTGACAAATGGCAAATGAGAATTGAAGGGGGAAACCACATTTTGCATTACCTGAACATTCTGGAATTACAAGGCATTACAATGTACCGTTTATTTAAGACATTATGTTTGGACTACAAAGCATTATGTGTACGCATTTTGCTCCAAGTTACAAGTTGTTCGTAATAGAGCCAGTTCATCCTCCAACAACTGAACTGACATTGGACAATAGGGGCCTCCCGGCTTCATTTTTTATTTCTGATCTACAAAGTACATTAAAAATAAAAAGACCCACGTGTCCTCAATTTTTATTTGCGAGTAAAATAAACCAAAAATAAATTATTGAAAAGCTGTGTTTTTAGTCCGAGTTTGAAACGCTTCAGTGTATATACGTCACAAACCTACAACCAATCACGTAGAAGTGAGCCGGCAACCTTGTGCAAGAGTCTGACGTTTGTCGGATTTGACGTTTTAAGAGGCATGTTGGCAATATTGCCAAGCCTGTATGTCATCTGAATGGTTCTAGCAGCTGATTGGTCGGGTTTATTACGTTACAGAGCCTTAGAACGCATATAGTACATGGACTGCTAATTGTAACTAAAATATGGTCAAGGACATCGCCTGGGTATGTGAGTTTGAGGGTAAACGAGTCTGTCCGAAGTTGTGCGATTAGACACGATTTGAGACTGTCAACCTATAAATTAACAAACGTCAATTAATTATTCGCCTAGATATGCCAAAAAAGCAAACCTATCCCTATTTGTGGACGTATTTAAGATAATCAAGAGTATTTAAAGCTTCCCGTACTACGCGGTTCCCATAAAAGCTACTCTTTACGCGATCAGAGTGGTGTTTACACGACTTTAGTTTACCCTGAGATTCACATACCCACGACTACAGTGCCCTCTATCCGTGACCACCCATTTTGTATTGAAAGCATAGGGATAATAGCAGTCCATGTACTATATGGTCTAAG